AAATGATGTAGATCTAAGTGGACTAAACTGCGACTTCTAGGGCAAATTTAGTCTCATTATCAGGCTACTTGAAACAAACATTTCAATGACTGCAAAATGTTTGCAGGTTGGTCAGGGTGTTCTCGGTAAGCAGCAGCTGATCCCCGCTAACAAAAAACATGCTATGATAAATCTTCCTGTCTCAGGGTTTCCCAGGTGAAAATTCGGTTACCAGTGAAGAAGGAGCCACCTCCTGCATCTGTGGGCAGACAAGTGCTGAAATGCTCACAAAGCTCCTTCCTCTGGTTTTTGCAGCTCACTGACAAAGTGAGATGTGGAAGCTGGGATAAAAGTGAACAGCGCTGCTCTCCTGTCGCCATGGATACCACATGCTGACAGGCAGCCGGCATCACAGCACATCAGAAACCTCCTAAATACAGACCTGCCGCTCTTATCGTTCTGGTTTTGTTCTCTGAAGCCTCTGTTGTTTTTGTTTTTACCCCAATGGGTTTCATAGCCTGTCAGGTAAGAGGAGCAGCTCGCTGCTTCACGACTGACACAAACTTGACATGACACACAGACAAAAAACAAAGTTGCAAAGCTCAGGTTTTGTTTGTGAATCACAGAGATTTATGAGCTAATGCTGACACACTGATCGAGGCACCATATCTAAATCTGGCAGACCAGGAGAGACAGGGCTGAGACCTGTCAGATGGTGAAAGGGCAGAGATGACAGCTCCAAACACAGACTCACCATCTGTCTTCTGCCAACACAAAGACCCCTCATGGTCCAGCTCCAGAGGCAGAAAACAGTTCTTCAGTGGTAGCAATGCCCACTCAGTGCCCTTGAGCAGCATGCCCACAGTCTCTTGACTGCGGGTCCAAATAGTTCAGGAAGGATCGATTGCTTTACTAAACCGCACTGTCCCTGCATGTGTCAGACACTAACCGGTGTCTCTGGGCACACAGAGTGTGAATCAGTCAAACTGTACTGGTACACATACTGTGACCAAGTGCTGGTGATCACTCAGTCTTAACTGAGTGTGTGCAGACAAAGCAACACTCCTACAGCATGTGCATACAGAAACATTAGAAACCTCATGCAAACCTCGTGTCAAATGGAGTCACGGGAGGAAATTAAAGTCAGGCTGAAATTTCCAACATTAGATTGGTTTCCCACTTACAAGGCATCAAGGATGTGGTCACAGCAGGGGGAGGTCCTCAGCACCACACTGTCATTACAGCCTTATCATTGAGCCATCCAGTGCTATACCACATACCCTGTAGAGGGTCGGAGTCGAGAGCTGGACCGCAGACAGGTCACCAGTCTATGACAGGACTAGCAGAGATTACCAATATACTAGTGTTCAGGTGGTGCTTAATGTGAATTTGCCTGTTAACACTGAACTAACACACAATAAAAGGATGTGCAATAAGGTGCACACTGGCTCATAAAGAGATAGAAATACAATTTATGAGGTGTCATAGTATTTGTAGAAGTAAAACAAGTTGCTGAACAGCAGCAAAATTACCGTTTAGAGGTGAATTTTTCTGTGACTCTTATTCTGGAGTTTCCATAACTGTCTATTTCTTAGCACATGCCGCTACTGACAGACGTCATCGGAGCTGGCAGGCTGCACATCCACAGAGTCAGAGACATTACAAGCTAAAACTACAGAAAACCCCTCACAAAAACCATGTCAGCAAACCCCTGCTGTCTGATGTCTGCACATGTTCAGAGCCCTGACACGCTTTCCCTGCCGCAAACCACTCCACTACTTCTCTGTAATGCCACCGATTTCCACTGAACGCTACGACTCTGCTCCCTGTCAGCTGTTACCAGTGAAACTCTGAGCCTGCATCAGACTGATCACAGAGCTGGACAAACAAACAGCAACAGAGTGCGAGGTCATCTTCCTGCAGCTCGGAGCAGAGTGAACAGCTGGTCCAGAACTAGCAGCGTTCTGTCACCAAGACCTCCAGCACTTTTTCCACTCACTACTTTTGTTTTAGGCACAAAAAACAACTTTTTGTGTTGCTCTTCTGTTGTAAGAATCCTATTGAATTACTTATGATTATGTAATTATTCTTTTTTATTTTGTTAAACATTTGAATGCTACAAAGACTGTAGCTGCTGTTTAATTTTCTCTCAAGTCTATTAACTGGCTTATCATTGCAACTTTATTCTGCGTTTCTCTGAAGGCAATATAAATGCATGTGACAGAACTTCCTTCACATTTCTTTTCATTTTATGATTTTCTTGTCTGACTGAAGAAGAACAGAACAAATTCCCAGAATCCTCTCTGCCCACAGAAATTGAACCATGGTCTTCGTCCCCTGATAGCTCCTGCAGCGAAGCACCAAGGACGCCTGACAACAGCCAAGAGACAGATCGGAGGCTGCAGCTGCATCAGAGACACTGTCAGGAGATAATGAGGAGGAGGAGGGTGCACCTGAGGATGAGCAGAAATCCAGGCCAAGATCAAAGTACACGTAGTATAACTGGAAGTATACGGTAGTATTGTGCATTCATACACTGGAGCAGTGAGTCCAACATTCTGGTGGTAAAATATTTGTGAAATAATTCAGAAAAGGATCAAAGATCAGTCTCAGCCCTGACAGGTCTCCCCGTGTCTGCAGCACCAACACTTAAACACACACTCTGTCTGCACAGTCCAGACTCCGGCTGCAGACGTACAGCAGCACCAGGAGCTGAGAAATCCTCTGACAGTAAAACACATGAGCAGGGAGGCAGCAGTAGCCTGTTGTTATCTCTCACTGAAACCTCAGTAGTTCCTGTCATCCAGAGTCAGACAGCTGAGACACAGCAGAGTGTGTGTGCTCTGGATGGGCTGAAAGAGGCGACAGAACCGAGAGAGGAGGAGACACACAGAGGTGTTTGTCAGACACCCTAAGCTGAACCTGTATTTGTATACAAATGGTGTCACCATTTGGCTTCATGTACTTATTCACATCGAACATGTCTGGGTCCTGATGCTCCCAGCTGCACCACAGGGCTGAGGTCTCAGTCGCGCCCTGACGGGTGGAAACTGTTTGCATCAACACGTCAGAGGGACAAGATGCAGCAGGTGCATCGCTGGTGCTGAATGTTTCAGCAGCAGTCAGTCTGGTGTGGGGGGTGTGGTAACTTGATTCTGACCTGAAGATGTCTGCTTCCCGCTCTGCTTCACTGAGCTCAGATCAGCTCTGAGAGGTCCTGTTACAGACACAGAACCTCAGGAACATACTTGAATGTGCAGTACCAGCACGTGTTTGTGAGCAGGCCGATGCTGCCACCTGCTGACGCTCTGCACTACTGCCTCCACCAGCCACCGGGTGCAGACCAGGGTGAGCTTCAGTGTCCCACATGTTGCTCTCCGACCACCTCTGTCCTTTACTCATGTTTTCTGAGTTCATTTCTTTATTAAAAGTCCATTAATTACCCATGTGACTCATTCATCAAAGTAACTACATGACTAAAGGTCTACATTCCCTCTGCACAAATTGTCGGAAATGTGTCACAAGAACAAATATATGTCTATAAATACAAGATCTACAATACAGGCAAGTACGATATTTAGTCCTGATCCATCAAAAATGTAGGATGAATTTTCATTTTACAATTAAAAAGTAGCAGACTTTCTTCTCCTTCATTCCCATTTCTTCACAGTGAGATGTGATGAGGCAGGAAACTGTCAAACTAAAATCTGAACGACTACTGAGACTCCAGCCGCTGAGGAGGATGATAAGACGTGGTCAAAACTTTTGGGCAAAAAACAAGTGGACCTTTTTTAGCAACTGATTTTTCCAAGGTGCAGAGAGAGAAACTAGTCTGAATCATACAGTATATAACATGTGTTTAACAGGTAGGAGTTTGTGAATGTGCTTTAAGTCGGATGCACTTTGAATCTGAACTGAAAACAAAACATCTTCCTTTTCACCATAAATCTCCCACATTAACGTTTCTTTAACACTAGACAAACCTGGGCCTCATCAAGAGCTTCCAGGGATTCGACACCCAACAGAGGACATCTCCAGTGCAGCTATTCACATGAAAATAAGACCACACACTGAAATTAACTCAAAGCTGCGCAACTGAACAAGTCATAATAATAATAAACAAGCCATAATAATAGTCATAATATTCCAACTTATCGATACAAATGTTATGTGTGCATTACATTGGAGTAAATAAAGCAGTGAACATGCAGCAGGACAAAGCCCTGCACCAGGCAAGTCCACTGACCGGCCCCCTCACCAGTGCTAATAGAAATCACCTTGGTTAGAACGCGTTGCTCTTAGTGCACCCAGGCCTTTACACACCGTCGGCTGTCTCCATGGTCTGGCGGCCCCTGGCTGATCTCCTAGCCCCCAAAGGTTCCCACTGGGATTGTTTACAGTGGTGCTCAGGCCTCTGCTCCTCTGGCTCGTGTTCTCACTGCCTGGTCAGGCAATTGGACAGCAGCTCCGGTGTGTGGCCCACTGACAGTGTGGCAGCAATGTGCACTCACCTAGCTGGCTCTAATTAGCGCAGGTAAGAGACTAACTAGTGGACTGTGTTCAATATGTTTTCCTGATCATTCTTTCTATTGATGAAAACATTGTGGTTTGCTCCTCTGTGCAGCCTTTGTGGCTGAACGCCAGTCTGGTCCTTACGTCATGTAAACAGCTGCACAGGAAACGTGAAACAAAAACAGTTTCTACATGTTGGACACCGACTTCCCCCACTGTAAACATGAGATCTGTTGTTTTTTTTTTCTTTTTATTATTTTACATTTCACCTTTGTTTTTCTTACTGTCTCACTGTAAAGCACTTTGAATAGTAAAAGATCCAAAATGGCAAAAACACTTTAGTATTGCACATGAAGACATACAACAAATCAACCCAGCATCAGTCTGACGGGCTGCTGCATTCCCAAGAAATGACACACACACATTGGAAACACCTGAACTCAGCCTTCAGGTAAAAACACTCAGTTAATTCTCAGACAAAATACAAGTGCTGGAGTGAATCTACTCACAGCTGCTCTCCGTCTGCAGCTCTGGTGTCCTCGACCAGATAAACTGACCCAAAACTGCCTCGGCCCAGACTCTGCAGGATGTTGTATCGCTTAGCAACCAAAGGCTGACCTGACACCGCCTCCTGGAACCTGGGCATCCTGTTAGCTCACCTGAGGACTGAGGACAGGTTGACCATGAGCTCCACTTGACCTGAATACACAGTCCTAATACAACACTTCTCCTTCTCCCTGCTCTTATTGCTGCTGTTCATCTTGCTTGTGTCTCGTGCAGCTTGTACAGTATGTAGGCTACTCTTTTAATAATGTATTAGTGTTGTTATTGTTTATGTTTTTAAGCTGTTGTGGTGCAGAAAGAAGTGAATTTTCTCCTATAATAACAGCACATAGCTGTAAATCTACTGCAGGGTCAATAGTCTATCAGATTATCTCGCATTAAAATTACAATATACTGCCTTCATATGATCAGACATAGTGAAAGTCTGCTCCTATTCACAGAGAGCAGCTCTGCAACAGGATCAGCCTCAGACATCAGACAGCCAGTGGCCAGGGACGCAGCCACTTATGATGTGCTTGTACTTTGAATATTTTCTTCCATACTTCTACTGCACTACATATCAGAAGGAAATATGACTTTTTACTGAACTACTTTACTGGTCACATCAGGATTTTACATTAAAACATGAGATAAACTTGAGACATTTTCTCTCTACACTTCTCACGTGGTCTCATTTCAATCAATGTCTGCTTGAAGCTGAAAGAGAAGATGATGCAACATGACCAGATCTGAGGGAAATCCCACCAGCGAAAATAGATTTTGTATCAGAACCTTCTAAGAGAAGCAGCTGTAACCGTAAAATGTCACTGAAGCTTTGATCACTCAGGATCAATACTCTGATCATGTCAAAGGGAATAACACAGACCGAACATCCACGGAGGAACCTTTCTACAAAACAAGTGCTTTAATACATTAAGTATGCTCCTGATAATACTTCTGTGCTTTTACTTAATAAGAATCTTAAACAAAATATTACTTGTAATGGAATATTTTCACATTCTGGTTTTAGTACCTGTACTTAAGGATCTGACTAATTCTTCCACATTTACAGGCAACACAGGCCTAAACTGTCTTAAACCTGAGCTAATGACAGGTTTGCTGTGACCATCACCTACTTATCCTCTAGTCATTATGTCACACTAGGTCTTCACTTCCTTCAGTGAAACTGACAGTACACTGGCTTGTTCATGTTACAAAATTAATGTCTGATACATATTCAACTATACTGAAAAATAACGACTTAAATTAATCTTCTACATCTATACAAGGTAGCCTAATACTGTCCGTATTTTGAAATACCTCAATTTATATAAATGGCTTTTTTTTTTTTTGGTATGAGCGGATTCTATGTTTTAATTTAGGCAAATTGATGCTGCTGTCCGACAATGGAGCTAAGGGGTATTTCCAGTCACATTTTTAAGAGTTAAGCCTGCCAGTTGTTCATCAGACAGAAGGTAGATACAGTTCACGGAAGTGTACCGTTAATGCGCTGCTTCCGTCCGCTAGTCAGCTCGGTGTTCGCTGTGGATGGAATGAAACTGGCGGGAGAAAGACAGGAAAAGCGCTGCAGACGCTGTGTCCGATAATAGACGCACGGTTGAAATATTTTAGTAACAGCGGGAGAAAAGTTCCCGCCTGGTCTTTTGTTTATTACGCATTAGGTTAATAAACAACAGGCGCGATGTCGTTTACCTGCACAGGACTTCCTTGTTTGATACGGTTTCCACGGAGACAGAAGACAGGCCAACACCCCCCTATCTCCCCCCGCGCGCGCTAATTACACCTCAAGTCACGACGTCTCGATTTTTGACAGTTTTAAACAATTTAGGTGTTTATGGTAGACAGTGCGTAAAAGCAAAGTGAATACTTAGGGCACAATACTGAATACCTGAAATTTAAATACAGTAGCATAGAATTTAGTGCACAGAAATATTTGTCTTTGAAAACATCGTTCTGATTTTATGTGGCCTGGATTGAATTCTCATGGCAGATGTCAGAAACAGAGAAGTGCAGCATCATCATATAAGGACTTGATTTAGTTAAAGTAGCAACATCAGTGATGTGAGGTTTATAGTTAAAGTATCCAAAGTACCAGTACTCATCCTGCAGATCGGCCCATGTCACATTAATGTCTCTGATACTACTGGATCCTACTGATTGATACGTTACTGCAGGCTTTTTCAAAGTGTGAGGCGCACCTCCCCTGGGGGGCGCCAGAGTACATCAGGGGAGGCGCGAAACATTTTTGTAAAGGAGAAGAAAAGAAAGCTAAATTGGTGCTAATAAATGTGACGGAGAATGGATCGATTTGTGGTATGTACAGCAACAGAGAAGAAAGAACCTGGCGGAAGAAAAAAGAGAAAGTATGATGATGATTATTTAAAATTTGGATTTTCATGGATTGGTTCTGAAGATGCACCCGATCCACAGTGTGTGATTTGCAAAGTCGTACTAGCTAATGACAGCATGAGACCATGTAAACTCCGGCGTCACATTGAGACAAAACACCCGAGTTTAGTGACCGAGCCAAGGGAGTTTTTTGAGATGAAGCTGAGTGAACTTAACTCACAGAAAAAAACAATTAAGACTTTAAGAAAAGCAAGCACCGCTCAAGGCTACAGGTAGAGGATGATTTACGTTTGTTCCTCTCTTCGGCGCATCCCCGTATCAGCCGCCTATGCGCATCAAAGACACAAACTCATTGTTCCCACTGAAATAGAGGTGAGCTTCCCCGCTAACTTTCATACAAATGTTAATGTGTTAAATGTGTTGAAATGTTAAAAGGTGTTAGAACTGTTAAACATGTTCATAAAATTGCAGCAACTCCTGCTAAAAGTGTATACGTAATTTAAGTATAATTTAAGTTCATACATAATAAAACAAATTCGTAGCAATACTGGCTGTGTTTTTTATCTATTTATTTTTTTAGGGTGGGGGGGGGGGGGGGTGCGCATGTATTCATGCTGTCTGAGGGGAGGCTCACAGGCCTAGACTTTGAAAACCCCTGCGTTACTGTGTTCATCACTTTAATGCTGCAGCTGGTAAAGGTGGAGCTGATGTTAACGACCTTATATACTTATACTGTGAAGTACTTTACATCCTGCTGGGTAGCTGGTGGATTTCTGACCAGGATCAATAGAGTATGATGATTCTACTGTGTTTGGTTTGATTCATCTGATTCTGAAAAGGAACTGAAGTTATCAGATACATGTAAAAAGTACAAGGTTTGTCTCTGACATGAAGTGAAGTCATAGTATGAAGTAGGAGGGCATGTAAATACTCAAGTAAAGTATAAATACCTCCAGAGTGTACTTCAGCGCTCAGGTAAATGTACTCACTTTTCACTGAGTCTGAACAGAATCCATGGTCCTGCTCACGGTGAGATGTGAAGATGCTACAACAGTTTTACAAATACTTTGATATTTGCACATGACCAAAACAGAAGGTTTGTCCACCATTTTGACTCGAGTTATCACACACACACACATCAAGGCGGAGCATGATGTTCTTCTCTGTATCTTGACATACTGTATAACAGTGTTTATCCCGATGTTTCAGGTGTGCTCACTGTAGTTCAGATCACCTGGTTTGTTTGCCTTTGACCCCAGACTCAGCTCACTTGATGTGTGTTAAAATACTGAGAGGAACAATCAGCAAAACTACACAATACTAGAAAATGAATGTGTACATTTCCTCACAGTACACCTGCTAGTTGAGATATTTCAGTGTGAACAAATCCAGCCAGATTATAATCAACCAGAACCAAGAATGTGTTGCTGGACTGTGTGTGCGGTGTTTGCCCTCTACAGGCATGAGCTCTTGTGTTTGTGCTGGTGAACTCTGCACACCCTCAGCTGCAGATGTAGTTTAATCCAATCACATTAGCTCCAGAGAAGGAGCTATGAGTCATATTTCCCATCAGGCCCTGCCCTCCCTTCATCACGCCAGCACACAGAGCACACACTCTGCAGAGAGCTTCATATCATGGTAGCTCTGTTTCACCTGCAGCTGCCATTTCCTTCCTGACCAACCATCTAATGCTTCTGCATAAGCCAACTACTGTACAATATGCAGAATGTTTGTACTGTGAAAGGCCCACAATGACCAACTGCTTCATAACCTTACAATAAAAACACGCCAGTCTTTGTTGTTTCCATTTTAGGCAACTAGTACAATTAGTTAAATGGTTCATAAGTTAAACTTAAGTGTTTTCTTCCAGTGTCATGTCTCAGTTGTGTCCAGACCATTTCATCCGTGGTGTGATACTTGTAGTTTATTTCATTCTTTATTTTGTATCTGTATGTCCACATCTGGTTACATTTCTTTCTTGATATATTTTGACAGATGTACACGTTGTTTGACGACAGAATCAGAACAGGTCTTTTTAGGCTGCATTCATACAAGCCTGAAATTAGACTAGGACAGAAATGGTGTAATGAGCCTTTAATTTACAGCATGCAACAAATCACAGCTTGTAGTTTAAACACACTTTAAACAATGTAGGAAAACAACACAAGTCATGTGAGCTCTGTGTGATGTGATGTATACAGCACTGTGGACATCTACAGTTTAACAGAATCATTTCATGTGTCCGCCCACCAGTCCAACATTAGGACGCACCTTTTCTTCAGCCTTCCTTCACTGGCACATCAGCACACAGCAGGTGAACGGACCCATCTGTTCTTCAACAGAACATTAAGGCACTATGGAGAAAAACCTGAACAGTCTACTGGGACTGTCCTGTTTCAAAAACAGGGTTACTTCATGTTTTAGCTCCAGTGCTGATACAGAACTATGAACAAATGTCAGGAACCCAAACACAAAATGTAAAATTAGTTAAAGAGAGAAAGAAGAAAATACACATGCACCAGGAGGTTGGTGATCTTCTACACCAGCGTCAATACAACTTTCAAAGAGCCTGTTAGTTTTATTCTTTGTTTCTGTAAAGCACTTTGTAACTTTGTTTTTTAAAGGTGCCATATTTTGTATATCCAATATTCCATTCACATAACAAAAAACATTCCTGCAATGTCCATCCATGATCGTATACACTGTAGTACGACACCGCATCAGTAGAGAGCAGCATACTACATCTCCCGGTGGACAAACAGCATTACATTGAGCCACTTTGCATCAGTGAGAACAGCATCATTAAGCATAAGAAAATACACACATACCGAAATAAACAATGTAAACAGCCTGGTTCTGTCCAGCTTGGAGCCAGAGTCAATGTGTGGTCAAAGGTGGCATGAGTTTCTATCATCAGCAGAGTTGAGCTCAAACACAAACAGGGCCAAACTCTGACTGATGGACTGGCTGATTCTGGCTCCAGGCAAAGCTTCCAGGCAGGAATACAAAACCCAGCCTTAGAGTACAAAAATCAACAGACACACCAATAAACAATATCCAGAACCGACAGTGGACAATCACTTATGGAAAACCTTGGTGTATCAAAAGTTCAACAATACAAATACAACATTTCAAAACAAATCAAAGCACACAGCCTAAATTTTAAAAGACCAAAATGATGTTTGATACTGAACAAGTCCTTCCGCTACTGATGTGCATGAAGCTCAGGCTGGATCAGTCCACCGTGGGTCGCTGCAGTGGTACTGACATTTAAGAAGTTTTATCAGTGTACCTTTAAAGGAAATGAAACTTCCATCTGTCAAACTGGTCCAGACCCAAAATAAAATACAGTGAAGCAGCAAAAACACAGCATATGTGAACATCCTGCACCATCGACAACAGAGCAAAGTGAAACACAGCAACGTTTGGCTCTGCCGCTGAAACCAGGCATTACTCTGTGAAGACTGCAGCACACTGTGTGACTCTGGGCCGGGTTGGACAACAGTCGACAGGACAGAAACGGTGCGAAATCTTTGGCTGTCATGCCGTAAACAGTAGTCACACCATCACTCTGTAATGAGACCCGGCCACCACCTTCAGCCACACGTCACAAGTGAAAGACTTAACCGATGCCAAAGTAAGAGCCCCAAACCCTCCTGAGTCAGACTAGATCCAAATTATTTTCACATAAGGTACCGTCGTGCACACAGGTGGGTTTGGTTTGTAAAGTGTGGATCTACTGGTGCCACGCTGGCCCCTGAGAAAACCAGCCTGTTGTTCTCATCAGCTCAAAATGTAGTAAGCCGTGCTGCACGAACCACTGTGCTCGCAAATACCTGAAATACTGCGAGGAAGCATCAGGTCATGTAGTAAAATTAGCTTAGGGAGGCAGCAGCAGCACTGGAAAAGTTACAAGGTCTGTGTTCAAATGAACTTGAACTAATTTCATGAATTATTTACATTTTGTAAATTTGATTTTGTGGAGAGAGTGACGGTGCTCCTGTCCTCCGGTCAGATCACGTCTTTATTGTTGTTAAAAGTTACTTTATGCTCGGTGGTTCCAGTAACTCTAAAATTCTAAGTTCTTGTTCTACTTACATCTCACGCTACAACTAACAGTTACTTCCATTATTGATTAATCTGCCAATTATTTTTCAATGAAGTGACTAAATGTTCTGTCTATAAAAATTCAAGTAAAAATAAATACAAATGTCTGTTTAAATTTCCGGGCGCAGCCTTAGAGATAGGGTGAGGAGCTCAGTCACCCGGGAGGAGCTCAGAGTAGAACCGCTGCTCCTCCACATCGAGAGGAACCAGCTGAGGTGGCTCGGGCATCTAAGTCGGATGCCTCCTGGGCGCCTTCC